GCTGTGCTGTTAGTGGGTAGATGGGAGTGTTTCCGGGTCCGGTGCTGTGCTGTTAGTGGGTAGATGGGAGTATTTCCGGGTGGTCTCAGTGTCATTACTAATGACGTTGAGCACCTTCTTATGCTTGGTTACAGTCTGTATATTTTCTGTGGTGAAGTGTCTATTCAGTTTTTTTGTCTGTCTTTTTTATTAGCTTATTTGTCTTCTGAATACTGAATTTGTAAGACATTTGGGGGGTTTTTCTTTTTTAATTTTTCATTCTTTTTGAGACGAAGTCTCACTCTGTCGCCCAGGCTGGAGTACGATGGTGCGATCTCGGTCACTGCAACCTCCGCCTCCTGGGTTCAAGTGATTCTCTTGCCTCAGTCTCCTGAGTAGCTGGGATCACAGGTGCGTGCCACCACGCCTGGCTAATTTTTTGTATTTTTAGCGGAGATGGAGTTTCACCATGTTGGCCAGGGTGGTCTTGAACTTCTGACCTCAGGAAATCCACCTGCTTTGGCCTCCCAACGTGCTGGGATCACAGGCGTGAGCCACCGCACCCGGCCTCTTTATTTGTTTTTGAGAACAGAGTTTCACTCTGTTACCCAGACTGGAGTGCAGTGGCATAATCACAGATCACTGCAGCCTCAAACTCCTGGGCTCAGGCGATCCGCCCACCCTGGCCTCCACAGCAGCTGGGACTACAGTCAGACACCACCATGCCTGGCTAATTTTTTTTGTGTTTTGTAGGGATGGGAGTCTCACAGTGTTGTCCAGACTGGTCACAAACTCCTGGGCTCAAGCGGAGATGTTCCCGCTTCAGCTTCCCCAAGTGCTGGGATTACAGTTGCAAGCCACTGTGCCCAGCCTCTTTTTCTTATATATGGCCATGTAGTTGTTCAGCAGTTGTGCAGTTGTTTAGTCTTTGTTAAAAAGATTATTATTTACCCTAACTTACTAGCTTAGGAACTTTCCAGAAACTCAGTTGCCCATATGTATGGGTCTATTTCTTGAATTCCTTCTGTTCCATTGTTCTATATGTCTGTTTTTATGCCAGTATCACATTGTCTTTATTATTGGTGCTTTATTAATAAATCTTTTTGTTTTTTCTTGAGGCAGGGTCTCACTTTGTCACCCAGGCTGGAGTGCAGTGGTGCAGTCATGGCTCACTGCAGCCTTGACCTCTTGGGCTCAAGCAGTCCTCCCGCCTCAGCCTCCCAAGTGGCTGGGACTAGAGGTGCATGCCACCACACCCAGCTCATTTTTGTGTTTTGGGTATGTGTGTATGTGTGCGTCAGCCTCCCAAGTGTCTGGGACTACAGGTGCATGCCACCACACCCAGCTAATTTTTGTGTTTTGGAGGGGGGTGTGTGTGTGTGTGTATTTGTGTATGTAAAGACGGGGTTTCACCACATTGCCCAGGCTGGTCTCGAACTCCTGGACTCAAGCCACCCACCCACCTCGGCCTCCCAAAGTGCTGGGATTACATACATGAGCCATCGTGCCTGGCCTGTCTTCTCTTTCTTCCTAATAAGTCTTACAAGATGTTTATTGATTTTATTTTCTCAAAGAAGCAATTTTTTGTTTAATTGTCATTATTGCTTTTCTTTTACTATTTCATTGACTTCTACTACGATCATTATTATTTCAGTCCCACTTTGGGTCTTGTTTGCTTCTGTTTTTCCAGTTTCTTAAAGAAGCAGCCTGAGACATTTCTGTTTTTATCATGTAGGCATTTACTCCAAGAAATTTCACTTTGAATTCTGCTTTAGCTACATCTCACAAATTTTGACTTGTGGTTTTGTTTTCTCTTCTTTTGATGTCTCCTTTTGATTATTATTATTTCCTTAATTTCCCTTTCAATTTTTTCCTTTGACCCATGTATGGGTTATTTTGGTGTGTTACTTAGTTTCCATATGTTTCAGGGTTTTTTTTTTTAATCTTTCTATTATTGATTCCAATTTCATTCCATAGTGATGAGAATACGTACTTTGTATGACATGAGCCCTTTTATGTTTGAGACCAGCTTTATGGCCCAGAGCACTGCCTGTGCTAGGACACACTCCACATGCACCTGTAGGCTGTGTGCCTTTCTGGTGTTGGCGAGTGTCTCATGAATGTCAGTAGGTCAGGGTGGTTGGTGGCGTTGCTCAGGTCCTCTGGGACCTTACTAATTCTCAGACTACTTCTTGTATCAGGTATGAAGAGCGTGGTGTTTAAATCTCTGAATTTATATTTTTTCCTCAGCCTCTGTTTTTGTTTCTTGTATCTTGAACCTCTCTTGATAGGTGTGTGTGAACAGCTGGGCCTAGGAGACCTGGTCATTCTGGGCTTGCCTGGCCCTGTCTCATTATTCTGTGTTGGTCGTTTTATTAGGTTGGTGCAAAAGTAATTGCAGTTTTTGCCATTGAAACTGCAATTAATTTTGCAGCAACCTGATACTTTTTTACATTCTGTTTTGTACAAAAGGATTTGTGTTTTGTCTAGCTGGTTTTTCCTTCATAAAGTGCACTTATATATTCTCAAAATAATCTATGCTTACTGGACTTTGGATTTTAAAAATAGCTTTTAAAGTTCTACAAACATTGTCATAGTTATTTCATTTAAAATTGCTTTTGTGATTATAGTTTAGTTTAAAAAGAAACAAGCAATCAAGCTTTTAGGTTTTCCTGAGTAGCTATGGGTTAATTTCTCTGACCTTTTGTATAGCCTGAGAAACCTTCAGAGTTCTTACTCTATTTGATTAAATTATTTGCTATTACAGCCATCTAACAGGAATAATTCCTGTTACAGAAATAATGTGGAGGGTTATTATTCAGGAAAAAGAGGCTGGGCATGGTGGCTCACACCTGTAATCTCAGCACTTTGGGAGGCTGAGATGAGAGGATCACTGAGGCCAAGAGTTTGAGACCAGCCTGGACAACATAGTGAGATCCGCCTCTATTTTTTTTTTTAATAGGAAAATTACCTTGCATTTAAAGCAAATGCTATAAATTTTCTTTAATGTGGATTTTGAATAGAGAAGGTTTAAAAGGCACTTCGAAATGTATTGTCTCCATAAATGTCACAAGTAGAAACTTTATATATCATTATGAATGTGTATTGCCACCATTTTCCCAGGGGTTAAAAGACAGGTAGACTATTGCCTATTAACCCAGGGTTCTCCTAACCGATTGGTCATTATTGTCATTATTGCTTTTCTCATTTGTCATTATTACATCATTTCTTTCTGTGCTCATTGTGATCTATAATGAGGAAATAGCAGATCTTTTGCTTGTTAACAGTGTTTTGTGTCTTTCTCGGGAGAGATTTTGTACCATGTTAATCATTATGGAAACACTACTTAAGAGAATATGACTGAAATATGTTTGGATTTTTAAAAATATCTTTCTTAGAGACTAATATTGTCTGTGGACCTTTCTACGTTTGTTTGTTTTTGAAACAGTTTTGTCACCCAGGCTGGAGTGCAGTGGTGCGATCTCGGCTCACTGCAGCCTCCTCCTCCTGGGTTCAAGTGATTCTCATGCCTCAGCCTCCCAAGTAGCTGGGACTACAGGTGCGTGCTGCCACACCCGACTAATTTTTTGTATTTTTAGTACAGACGGGGTTTTGCCATGTTGGCCAGGCTGATCTCGAACCCCTGGCCTCAGGTGATCTGAGCCTCCCTAAGTGCTGAAATTACAGGTGTGAGCCACCCCACCTGGCTCCTTTCTATATTTTCTAAGTTCCTATCTCTGAGAACAAAAGGTCAGGAGCTTAGAAAACGTAGAAAGGTTCTGCAGACATGATCCTAGTTACGCCAGTGTTTCTACCCTGTGTTTTGCAGGTCAGAGACGAGCAGCACCAGTGTTCCCTGGGGAACCTGAAGGTCCCCCTCAGCCAGCTGCTCACCAGTGAGGACATGACCCTGAACCAGCGCTTCCAGCTCAGTAACTCGGGTCCAAACAGCACCATCAAGATGAAGATTGCCCTCTGGGTATCGTGTCGTCCTGCAGTGAACACCATAGGGGATGGGGAGGCCGGTGCTGGCAGGGATACCTTTGGGCCCCGGGCATGAGGCCGGTGAAGAAAGCTCTGTGTCGGCTGCAGCTCTGGGCCACAGGAGGGCGCCGGTGCAGGGAGGAGACACTGTTGCTGGGTATCAGAGGGCTCCGGGGAGAAGACAAAGGCTGGGACTTAGCCATAGAACAGGCCACATTTCCAGGTTGCCTGAGCAGGCCCACGGCTACTCACAGTACTTTCCTGTGAACCCAGCAACCTTACCGTTATCCTTTGGCCCGGAAAGTGTTACTGTTGGTATCAACAAGGTTTTCTCCTGAGTCTAACTTTTCAAAGGTTGTTCAGAAGAGAGAATTTAATAAAACTCCATGAGACAGTAGAACTTACAGGAAAAAAATACTTTTTGTCCAAAATAAACGGTGATTCATTTGTAAATAGCTAAGGAAATGTTGAAAGTAAAACTGGCAAACATATGGAGAAACACTAAAACTCATGAATCAAAGAAATGCAAATTAAAATGAAGAGCCAGCTTTTTTAGAAAATTAAAACAAATGACTTCTGTTGAGAGGGCAATGGGAACAGCCTCCTTGCCCCTGGCAGAGACTGGGGGTGTCGCACACCTCTCCAGAGGGAGCTGCGGCATCCTGGAGCCATTCATCTGAAGGCTCCTTGGCCTTTCTTCTAGAAACCTGATTCTTGTTTTGTGATACAAAGTGTGGGGAGACCAGGAACATAAAGATGTTCACTGCGGCGTTATTTCCTAAAACCAGAAAAAATCTTTAAGCTATCACAGTCACCCCAGAAGGGAGTGATTTACAAGGTGTAGACTCTGCTCAAGCCAGCCCAGGGACCACATAACTGGGAGACCGCAGGCCTTTTGGGTACCCCCTGCTCCTGTGCTCACACAGGAGCAACTGGGAGACCCCGGGTCCTGCGGGTACCCCTGTTCCTGCACTCATGCCAGGTTGTTTAGCGTGATCTTGCTGGATAGCAAGGGTTCTGGACTTTCTTCCTTCCTCTGGGGACGCTGGGTGGAAACCACCTTTATAGAATATGGAATTTGGTCTTCTGTTGAGGAAACGCGACTCTGGGCTCTTGAAGTAAAAACGTTTTCCCACAATTGCATAGAAATACGTGCAAACGGAAGAGACTAGAGGAATACACAGAAGTGCCTTGGGGGGCTCCTTGCCTGAGATGTGGCCTGGGGAAGCTGGAGGAGCTTCTGCCCAGGTTGTGTGGCATCAGAGGGTCAACTTCAGGGGGGTGGCCTGCCCTTCCACACCGTCCAGGCTTATCACTGCCACCACCCTGTTGCTGCCACCAAAGCCTGAAGGTGTGATGCCCCAGCTACTTAGCAGGCTGCGGCGGGAGGATCTCTTGAGGCCAGGAGCTTGGGGTGTAGTGCGCGATGGTCACACCTGTGGACAGCTATGGCACTCCGGCCTGTGCAGCTTAGCGAGTCTCCCCATCTCTAGGGGAAAAAGTGGTGTTTGTATCACAGAAGTGATATTTTGGTTACTTAAACTTTCCTTTAAAAAAAAAAGTTTGAGCTAAGTTTTAAAGAAATGTTTGCAGATAAAGACATCCCAAGCTGTTCCAGTATTAGGATGTTACCAGGGTCACCAAGTTTAGTGTTTGTGTTTGTGTCCACCTCTAGGTGCTCCATCTGGAAAAGCGAGAAAGGCCTCCCGACCACCAACACTCAGCTCAAGTCAAACGGCCCTCTGTGTCCAAAGAGGGGAGGAAAACATCCGTCAAATCTCATATGTCTGGGTCTCCAGGCCCTGGCGGCAGCAACACAGCTCCATCCACACCAGTCATTGGGGGCAGTGATAAGCCTGGTGTGGAAGAAAAGGCCCAGCCCCCTGAGGCCGGCCCTCAGGGGCTGCACGACCTGGGCAGAAGCTCCTCCAGCCTCCTGGCCTCCCCAGGCCACATCTCGGCCAAGGAGCCCACCCCTAGCATCGCCTCGGACATCTCGCTGCCCATCGCCACCCAGGAGCTGCGGCAACGGCTGAGGCAGCTGGAAAAGTAACTAAGTGCCGCCGTGTTGTTTCTCAGCAGCAGAGCACGCGCCGCCCACCCTGGGGGAGTGGGTTTAACGCAGCAGAGCAGGAGGCCGGCGTGCTTGGGGGAGGGAGGAGTCATTTTGCGTTAACTGAAAGCACTAAAGGTTGTGTTGCTGTTGTGCTCACTGCGTCTTGGACTTCGGAAATAAAACCTGCGGTTTTCTAGGATTTAGTCATTTAAATATTAAAACGTGATGGAGTAATAGGTTTCACAATAGGAAAGACAGGAGGCAGCGCCGGGACGCTGCTGTGTGCCTGGGCTCCCGCCAGGAAGACAGACGCAGAACTGGCCCGCGGGCCTCACTGTGGCCCGGAGAAGCCCTGGCTTCCCCGTTGTGCGAAGACAGAACCTGCTCTTCTCACGCAGTCAGATCCCATCGCTGCCGCCCAGTCTCTTGGGTTTGTGTTTGGATGTCTGTGTTGGCTCCTTATTTAAGCCCCGTGACACATAGGTGTGTTAAGGGTTTCTTTAGATAAGGAGGAAAAAGTCATCTGTAGCTATGACAAGCTTCAGATGTTAACCTTGGTGGAAGAAACAAAATTAACCCTTGAAATAGTTCTCCCTATGTGGAGTTATAAGAGGTGTGTCGAGTGATAAGAAAATAGTAAAAGAAATGGAGGCAAAGGTGGAAGCATGTTTGCTTCTGAGCTGTTAGAAAAAGCACACGCAGACTGTGGGGCTTGCACAGCCACCCTCCTCTGAGCCACACTCACTTTTTTCTTTCATGCTTTCTCACATCCACTATTTTGGAAAGAAGAAAACATTCCTTCTCTCTTGCTCCAGAAGGAAATAGAATTTTAAACAAGGAACGACTTTTTCTCAGGAGCTCAATTTGGGAAGTAGAAATGATCTTAGGGGCCACTGAACAAGACAGGTTGTCATTTTGGGGGTCTGTGTTCCATCCTTGAGCAGAGAGAAATGGAAGGAAGGGCACTGCAGTCTCAGATGGGAAGAGAGCACGTGACTTGCATGAGGCTTTGAGATGGGACACGCAGATTCGGGTAGGATAGGCTAGAAACTGCTTAACAAGGACCACAGAGGTGATGCTTGTACTAAGGACACTGTGTGGTTTCAACCTCGGGTGCTCACTTGGTGAATCATAAGATCTGCACGTTTAGAAAGGAGACTATTCCTTAGCGGGTTGCAGCCTGCAGGCCGGCCAGCCTGACAGGCTGGGAAGTGCAGCCTCTCTCTGAGTCCGGAAGCATCTCCAAGGAGGAAGGGTAGGGCAGGAGCTTTGTGTGGAGCGCATGTCCTCAGCAGGTTCCAGGAGGAGCTGGGAATGCCACAGAGTGCCCAGCCTCTCTAGAGCAGCCAACAGCAGTCTGTGGTCAGGGTCAGCCATCAGGAGGAAGTTCTGAAGTCAGCTGCTCGTCAGTCAAAGCTGCAGTTAGCGCCAGTGAAGCAGCGGTCAGTGAGTCGGCCTCTGGATCAGGACAGGCTGTGATTGCTTGAACACTGCTGCTCTTGAGGCCAGTGCTTGTTTAGCTGCTGGAGAAGGAGACACCTGGTGGCTGGTAGAACCCAGTTGATTCTGTAAGTGTTGGGTGTGAGGCTTACCCTTGCCTGGCATGGCCCTGGGTCTTCTTTGTAGCTTGGTGTCTTATTGCCACAAAGAGTCTGTTCCTTCAGCCTTGCGATCTCTGTTGTAGCATTAATGCCAGTCAGTGGTTGCATCTGAACTGCGAAGGGAGTGGGTATAAATAACGTCCCGTCTTGTTGTGGTCAGGAACTCAGTGTTTAAGGTTTCTCTGGGGTCCCCTGGGTCCACTCATGTGGGAGTGGGGTGGGGGCTTAGGATTTTATTTTTAGTTCTCAGGACCCTAACTAAAAAACTGTCAGTTGGCTGGATGCTATGGCTCACGCCTGGGAGGCCGAAGCAGCTGGATCACCTGAGGTCAGGAATTCAAGACCAGCCTGGCCAACATGGTGAAACCCTGTTTCTACTAAAATTACAAAACATTAGCTGGGCTTGGTGGCAGGCGCCCGTAATCCCAGCTACTCGGGAGGCTGAGGCAGGAGAATTGCTTGAACCCAGGAGGTGGAGATTAGTGAGCCGAGATTACACCACTGTGCTCCAGCCTGGGCAACAAGAGTAAAACTCTGTCTCAAAAAAAAAAACACAACTGTCAGTTTTGAATAATTAATTTATATTGAGCCCTCAAGTAAAATATTCATCTGTTTGACTTGTACCCAGAAGTTTCAAATTACATATAAGTTCATGGGTAATTTGACTTCTTTTTGTCTAAATGAATGGAAATTATCTTATTGTGTACAGTAGACCAATGAGTCACAACGTTCTCCAGTCTCAGGCAAGCTGGTGACTTTCTGCTCTTTTCCCACAGTGGGACGACCCTGGGACAGTCTCCACTGGGGCAGATCCAGCTGACCATCCGGCACAGCTCACAGAGAAACAAGCTCATCGTGGTCGTGCATGCCTGCAGGTGGGGGCTGGGGTCGCCATGCGCCTGCTGCGTTGCTGCTGAGTGTGGATGCTGGATAGGATGATGCAGATACCCCCCTCTAGGATTACCAAACATCCATTTATGTTTCGTTTAGAAAGGACAAAGCAATTAAACCCCCACAGACGGTGCTTATAAAGGGTGTCAGCACTGCCTGTGTCACATGACGTTTTGGTTCCTGAAGTACAATGGTCCCCTAAGATCATACCATATTTTTAATGTACATTTTATGCATTTAAATAGATACGGTTTGGTGCAGTGGCTCACGCCTGTAATCCCAGCACTTTGGGAGTCTGAGGCAGGCGGATCACCTGAGGTCTGGAGTTCGAGACCAGCCTGACCAAAATGGAAAAACCCTGTCTCTACTAAAAATACAAAATTAGCCGGGTGTGGTGGCGCATGCCTGTAATCCCAGCTACTAGGGAGGCTGATGCAGAATTACTTGAACCCAGGAGGCGGAAGTTGCTATGAGCCAAGATTGTGCCATTGCACTCCAGCCTGGGCAACAAGAGCGAAACTCTGTCTCAAAAAGAAAAATAAATATGTCACAATTGCCTGAGTATTCAGCACAGTAGCATACTGTACAAATGTGTAGCCTAGATCAGGAGGAATGTGTGTGTGTGTGTGTGTGTGTGTGTGCACGCGCGTGTGTGTGTGTAGACAGAGTTTCACTTTGTCCCCCAGGCTGGAGTGCAGTGGCACGATCTCATCTTACTGCAACTTCCGCTTCCTCGGTTCAAGCAATTCTCCTGCCTCAGCCACCCGGGTAGTTGGGATTACAGGCGTGCACCACCTCGTCCGGCTAACTTGTATTTTTAGTAGACACTGGGTCTCACCATGTTGGCCAGGCCTCCCGAGTAGCTGGGACTATAGGTGGAGGCCACCAGGCCTGGCTAATTTTTAATTTTTTTGTGGAGATGCTGATCTCTAATTCCTGGCCTCCCACAAAGCACTGGAATTATAGACATGAGCCACCATGACTGGCCTCATCAGGAAAAATTTATTTTAACTTGTTCGTTATATTATTTTAATAAGTATAAAGTCAGGTGACTTGCTTTAATTGCGTTTGGTTAGCAATGATACTGTGGGCTTATGAACTATTTTCCTTTTATTGCCGTTTTCTCTGTCCCGTTTGGTTTAAAATATGATATAAAAATTTGGAGCTTATAAGTAGCTGTTGGAAACATAGGAAAATAAAATTAGCACCATTTAGAAAGATGATATAACTGTAGAGTTCAATACATCACTCTTGAGAAGTTCGTATATTCTTGCCACTAAGATAATGACCGTGGCGGATACTGTTTGAGAGGAGTCTAGCAAAACAATCCCTACTAGACTTTGGGGTCAGTCAGCAAGCGAAGAATGTGGGGGCCCGTGCAGCTGGGCACTTGACCGCGTTTGGCAAAGGAGCAGCCCCCATCTGGAGGAGTAGGCATTGTAGGGTGGAGGCAAGCAGCCCAGGCAGGTCTGTGGGTGTCTCCTGGGGGCCTGGCTTGCTTGGCTGTGAGAGAGAGAATAGCAGAAGCATTGTGGAACAACAGCCATCACTCTGTTACAAGCAGAGACCAAGGACTTAGAACGTCCTGCAAACTCTGGGCTCAAGAAATGAAGGCCGAAGTCACCGCTGAGAAAGCCACTAAGAAAGGAGTTTGGGAGACGCCACCAGGCAGCCATCAGGGGAGGCAAAAGCGCCTCGCACATTCTGTTCCTTGTTATTTCTCAGTTTTTAGATAAACACGAAATCAAAGCTTGATAAAGCACATCTGAATGTGCTGCTAATTCTCTTTTTCTTGATCCTAATACCTTGTCTTCTCTGGTTTGTGTTGTAAGAAACCTCATTGCCTTCTCTGAAGACGGCTCTGACCCCTACGTCCGCATGTATTTATTACCAGACAAGAGGCGGTCAGGAAGGAGGAAAACACACGTGTCAAAGAAAACGTTAAATCCTGTGTTTGATCAGAGGTACGATATTTTATCCAGCCGCGGATAGACTGCCTGGTTGAAGTGGCAGATTAAGAAGGCCCTAAATGGTGCCTTTGAATGGCCGAAGCACAGAAATCAGCTGTTGAGAAGTTCAGTCAGAAACCAAATTTCAGCAAACATACATCTCAAAACAAATAAGCATTTTGGCCTTTACGTAGAAGCTCTAAATATAGTAAATTCAAGTTATAACCCTGTGGACACGGAGACTAGTGGTTAAATAAACATCAAGTTATTGATGGCCCTGAAGAAGTCAATTTTGGGGGTTCTATCTGTTGACATTTTGGGGGTTATATCTGTTGACACTTTGAGGGTTATGTCTGTTTACATTTTGGGGATTGTATCTTGACATTTTGGGGGTTCTGTCTGTTGACATTTTGGGGGTTCTGACATTTTGGGGGTTCTGTCTGTTGACACTTAACTATGTTATCAATTAAAACTGAAAATTTAAGGATACATCTATTTTTAGTTTTGTTTTAAAATAACATAAGCCCCAAAAATCTTAAAGTATGACATATTGAAAAAACAACTGTATTTCCAAAAATAAAAAACATATTAATGAAAAGAATAATATTATTCTGCATTTTTGCTCATCTCTTTAGTGGTCTGGCTTGAGAGGCCAGAGTCTGCTTCTGTGGTCAGGGTGATTTGGCAATGTCCTTAGAGGGTCTCAAGAGACCCCCCCAGGGGTCATTGGCCCCCACTTAAAGAGCCGCCAATCTGTACCAATTTGGTATCTTACATAATTGTCCCCTGGTGCTTCGAAACCCACCCGTGTTTTGGGAAATGATAATAATACAGTTATTATTATGTATGGTGTCGCTATCTGCTAATTCAGTTTACGTTGCATCTTTAAACATCCTCCACATTCATTGTACTTTCATACAAGTAGCTTTATGTAAAACACACATCAGAAACTGGCAGGCCTGCATCAGCCCCTGATGAGGTTGTGCAGAGTGCTCCTATCCATCCGAAGCATTTAAGCATCTGGGGACTCCACTTGCCCATCTGGGTTTCCAGCACTGTAGCCTGGGGCAGGCACCCGCCAGCCCCCAGGAGAGACGCCCTGCAGGCTACTGAGTGCAGCGTCTGGGTGAGCATCACGAGGGCTTTGGAGGCCTTGTCCCTCCTGCGAAGCTGCAGGCGCGTACTTTTTTTATTGGAGAGAGTGGGAATAGGGCCTGAAGACTGAACGGGTGGCTGGAAAGCCTGAGTGAGTGGGCTGTTCTGGAATTGCTGTTTTGTCAACACTATCCCATATTTTAACCCCCAGGAAGAGTCAGACATGTTCAGAGATGCTCCTCACCCAGAGTGAGCCAGGGACCGTGGGACCCAGACATCTGTGGGTGCCAGAGCCTTTTTTTATGTGTGGGAAACAAAAAAAATGTTGGTTTTTGAGTCTTCCTGAAATGCCAGATGAAAACATTAGGTAGAAGAACTCAGTTTTGTAATAAAAAACAAACATGACATTTGGAATGATCTCATGAGCAGAAATGCCATTTTTAGTTATGAGAAAATACAACAGAATGATGGATAAAGTTAAGTAAGGCTCTCGTTTCCTGTTTCAGCTTTGATTTCAGTGTTTCGTTACCAGAGGTGCAGAGGAGAACACTCGACGTCGCCGTGAAGAACAGCGGCGGTTTCCTGTCCAAAGACAAAGGGCTCCTTGGCAAAGTAAGTGCCAAACAAATCCCCGATCAGTTCCTGCGATTTGTAAAATTGAACATTTACCTGCAGTGCAGTGTTGAGACCATATCTGTGCAAGCGGAAAGGGTGAACTTACGAGGTCAGTGCTTGTTTATAAATCGTGGGCTATAAAGACAGTCAATAAAACATCTGTGCTTTCTGAAAATATTTTAAGTTATTTTAATTGTTTTTACAGATTCAGATTATTGATTCATTAACTGTACTAATACCATGAACTTCTAGTTGAAGATTTTTTTTTAAGTCTTCAAATTTTTGTTCAAGTATCACATTGAAGGAAAAGAATCTCTTACAATTCCATCTCCTCAACTGACGGCTCTGCCCTTTTTCTGAAATTCATTGGCTTTATTTATCTGAATTTCTTCTAGTCTTTGTCCATATTCACATTTAACTTTGGCATGTGGGTGTGTTATTTAAGAATGAAAGAGTTCAGTTAGGGAGGAGGAGATTTGAGTCACAGGCATCATTTCGTCAGCTGTGCTGCCATGGAGGGCACATGAGCCAACGCTCCTGTGAGTCGTCTCCGCTGATATTCTGTCATAGCTGAATTTTAAGACTGCTGGTTGCATGAAGGATTTCTTAGAGGTACTCAGCCATGTAGCTTACAGGTGCTCACAGGGGTAGAAAAGATTGAAAAAACAAGAGCCTTCAAAATAGGAGAGTCCATATTCCTAGACGAAGACAGAAGATGAGAGAGCTGAGAAGAAGTGGTAAAAGATCTAAAAGACATCGCCTTAGCCTACTTTATGTATTTGTGTATTTATTTAGAGATAGGGTCTCTAGAAGCACAGGCTGAAGTCCAATGGCATGATCATGGCTCATTGCAGCTTCGAATCCTGGGCTCAAGCAATCCCGGTCTCAGCCTCCCGAGTTGCTGGGACCAAGGCGCATGTCAGCACACCCCGATAAATTTTTTTTTATTTTTAGTAGAGACAAGGTTTCACTATCTTGCCCAGGCTGGTCTCAAACTCTTGGGCTTAAGCAGTCCTCCCGTCTTGGCCTCCCAAAGTGGCTGGATTATAGGCGGGAGCCAGTGCCCCCAGCCCAGCCTACTTTAACTACTTTTTTTTTTTAAAACCCACAGGTATTGGTTGCTCTGGCATCTGAAGAACTTGCCAAAGGCTGGACCCAGTGGTGAGTGTCCCTGCTACAGACAGAGAACCCCAGCGTGTAGCTAAAAACGCTTTCCCCGCCCAGTGGGTAGTGTCCCCCACAGACAGTGGTGGAACCCGACACGTATCTGATAGGCTTTTCATACTTGGTCCTGTGTCCGTCACCACCTTCCTGTCACTGTCTTTCTCAGGTATGACCTCACGGAAGACGGGACGAGGCCTCAGGTGATGACATAGCCACACCAGGCAGGACGGGTCCTCTTCAGCATAGCTCCTCAACCTCTGCCCGGAACACCCCCTCTCACAGACGTACCAATGTTATTTTTATAATTTCATGTATTTAGTTATACATACCTTAGTAGTTTTATAAAGTTGTTGACATTTTAGGCAAATTTGGCCAATATTATCATTAAATTTTATATGTTGGATTTCCTCTAGGGTTTCGCCAGTTCCTACAACGTGCAATAGGGTGGTGGTAGCTCTTGTGTCTGTGGACTCTGCTCAGCTGTGTCCGTAGGGGCCGGATGTGTCTGTGCTTTACTATGGCCTTGTTTATATATCACTGAGGTATACTATGCTATGTAAATAGACTCTATATTTTTTATAATCTTTACATGCTGGTTTAAATTCAGAAGGAATAGATCAAGGAAATATATATATTTTCTTCTAAAACTTATTAAATTCTTGTGACAAATAATCATTTTCATCTTTGCGGCAAAAAGTTCTCAGTGACCTATTTTGTGGTGTTTCTTTTTAAAAAGAAAAGCTGAAAGATTATTAAATGTTAGTATGTTTCTGCCCGTTATGAATGATGAAATAAAGTATTCAAAATATTAACATTTTCATAAATATAAGGATGTATTACTGAGAAGTTGAAGGGCTTATGAAGAAAAATGTTTTATAACTGAGTAATATAAGATATTAAGAGAATTATGGTTCATAAATCATATACTAATCTGAAATTTCTTATATAAAAATGAAATCTTATGTTTATTTTAATTGCTGTTGTAACTTACTCATGAAACAGTATACAGACACCTTGTACTTTTCCTAGACTATAAGAACAGACTTTCCATGTTAGCAATTAAGCTATTGTCAAATAGTCAGTCATGAGCGGTTAATTTTCAATGTTTTCCCAGCCTATAAAAAAAGGAAGGTGCACGCTGCCCTTTTAAAGGTTGTGAGGTAAATTGGGATGAGTAGACAGGATATTGCATTAAAAATTGGAAGCTCGATCTCGTTATAGTCAGGAGCAGCCAGCGTGACCTCACACATAGGATGGGGGACGTGTGAGCCAATGTGCACTGGCCACCACCAGGGTTGGGGGCGCCACAGCTGCAAGTCCAGCCCCCGCTGTTCTCAGCAGCCACTTCCCAGGCTGCCTCACTTTATGCCGTGACTAACCTTAATATTGGGATATTGTTATGCAATTTTTATTCTATTTAGACTATTAAAAGCATTTTTATGTACTTAAGAGTCCCCCAGACCTCCTGTGAGGTGAGGCTCTGTTGCAGTGTCTGTAAAGAAAGGATGCACATATGTAGACGATTAAGTGTATATTATAAGCTGTATACTGAAAATGGCTTCCATAGCCATGAGAACATCTTAAAACTATGTATAAATATATTAAGGAAAATAGAGCTTTGTAATTTAAATTGGAGCTCTTAGCTTGTTTAATGGAACTGCACAACTTGTGGGTAACTCACATGACCAAACAAACCGAAGTGCCTGTGACGGAGGCCGGTGGCCAGTGGCTGTCTGCCCACCCTCCCTTCTAGCAGATTTAGATTTTGCTTCCATTTGTAACCTACTCTTGGCGGGTGGCTGTCTCCCCACCCTCCCTTCTAACAGATTTTAATTTTGTTTCCATTTATAATTTCCACTTTGAACCATGGGTTTACTTAGAATGAGTCTGTAGCTTCACAGCATATTTCATGTAATCATAAAGACCAGTATAGTCTGTCTCCTACTGAATGACATTTGACTGTAAAGCCTCTTGATAAACCATTTCCAATGTTAGTATATAGGATTCTTTGGGAAGCATATCAGTACCTTTATAGACACATATGTACGTGTATGCACACAAAACATTTATGGTATTTATGGAAGACAAATAATAACATTAAATCTAGTTGCTTTCCCATAGTATGAGATTTGTTGAAGGTTTTTTACAAATCAGGTCTATTGAAAGTCTTCTGTCATAATCTATAAAGAAGAAGCACTCATTGAAATTGTAGCATGCCAGTAATTTTTACCAACATCCCATCCATCTGAGTTCTGCAGTCCTGTGTGTAACCCGCTCTGTGTGTATTTTGCTTAATGGAAGGCTTTATTTAAGCACTTAGGCAGAGTAGACACAATTAAAGGTACAAGCCCAGAGGAAGGTTAAGCAGCACCATGCCTGCCCTGAGGCAGTGGAGTCGGAAACGCTGTCTCCAGGGCCTTGAGTGCCTGGAGGTTCGTGGCCTCCAGTAGCCGGCTCCTTTCTCTTTGAAAGAAATGAAGGAAGGAAAGGGGGTGATTCTGAGGCACTGAAGTACCTCCCAGACGTGGAGGGGAGAAGCCACCCTCGAGGCCACACTCAGCACTCCAGGATCCCAGCGATGTCAGACACTCTTGAGTTCTCAGAATGTTAATTTTCAGTTTTAAATAATTAGTTTAAGAAAAGGGAATTTTAACTTTTCTACCTTGAGTCAAGCCAATGAAGGGAAAATGAATTAACTTAGTAAATTTGAAGTGCAGCTCTGTTAGCTCGTACATGTGGGTTCTTATCCTGATCCTGTGCCTTAAAGTAGGAAGGTGTTTCCAAGTTCAGATTAAAACAGAAGCAGCTGACTGGGCCTGGTGGCTCACACCTGTAATCCCAGCACTTTGGGAGGCCAAGGTGGGCGGATCACCTGAGGTCAGGAGTTCAAGACCAGCCTGGCCAACATGGTGAAACCCTGTCTTTACTAAAAATACAAAAATTAGCCAGGCATGGTGGTGGAGTGCACGTCTGTAATCCCAGCTACTACTCAGGAGGCTGAGGCAGGAGAATCACTTGAACCCAGGAGGTGGAGGTTGCAGTGAGCTGAAATCGCGCCACTGTACTCCAGCCTGGGCGACACAGTGAGACTCCATCTCAAAAAATAAATAAAATAGAAGCAGCCTTGTAACTGTATTTACCATGATAGTATATTCTGCACGGTAAAAATTCCTTTTACAGACATTCTTTATCAAGAGGTCGGCCCTTCTTTTTCAGGCACTTAAGCCAAATGCAGACCTGTGTGTAGCTGTGTGTTTTCTTCTGTGTTTGCCGCATTTATTCCACCTCCAGCTGGACCCCCCACTGCAAATAGAGAACAACGGTGGGGGGTGCAGGTTAAAAAGTAGAGAATGTCCTTTCTGTTCAACTAATTTCACGTGACAGTGCATGTATTTATTCAATAAAACTTTTACATTAGCTCACTCGTGATTTGTTTTTTCTGTGTCTTTTGAAGGGAGGTGTTCAGTGTGCAGTCAGATAATTTGAAAGGAGACGTCATGCACTGTTTTCATTTGCTGTCTCCACTCGCATTTTCCGAGCAGCTACATCAGAGCAGCTGACATCCTTCCTGTTGCTCCCAGCTCAGTGTGACTCTCCTCTGCCCAGCACATTATACTCTGCATGTCGAAAACAGCTCTTCTAAAGGATAATCGTGTGTAGGAAAAATAGACTTGAAATGTGTTTTTAACCAGGGCGCTGAGAAGTGCAGCGGGGGCTGCCGAGACGCCTGAACGTTGGAACACGCTGAGGGTGATACTGGAGTGTCCCTTCCTGTTGCGTTCGTTACTGGTGGTCGGGGTCGACTTGAGTGGAGCCCTTGTGCTTTTCCTTGTAGCCACTCGGCATTTAACACCGTGCACTTCCTTTCTCCTTGATTGTGGGCCATCCTTCCTTGGCCTCTGTAGCGCCTTCCTCTGTATTTTCCTTGCACGTTACTCGCCATTTCCCAAGGTTTCACTGTTTTCTCCTCCAACCAGACTCAATATTGGCATAATGTGGGTTTTGGTTCTGATCACTTTTTATTTTTATGTGGTGTTCTTAATACCATCAATACCCTGGTTTCCAGATGTATGTCACTGATACAGATGTTCTCTGAGCTCAGGACCAGTTCATCCCACTGCACCCCCGTCCTGTGCGTCACATGGAGACCTCAAGGCACACCCTTCGTCCGTCTGTCTGTCCATCATCTGTCTTGGTGCTGGAGCTGAGACCCGGACAGCACCAGCCACCTCCCACTGCCTCAGCCCACGTGCAGACACCAAGTCCTTGAGCCCTAACTGGAGAATGTGTCCACCTCAACTCTGTCCCCTCAGTCCAAGCCACCGTCCCTCTCCATTTCTCAGTCTTTCTCCCCTACCTGCCCCATTTTCCATGCAACAGCCAGGGGATCTTTCAGACACATCACACTCAGCTGTGTGCCGCTGCTCAAGACCAAGAGCATTTCCTGGCTCCCAAGGCTGAGTTTCTTCTTCCACTGGGACCCCTCTCCACCGTACCTTGACCAATGCCACAGACGGCCCCGCCCACTCCCACGCAACAGCCCACAGACGGCCCCGCCCACTCCCACTCAACACCCCCAGGCATGCTCCTCCCGGCAAGTACCTCCACACCTGCTCCAGCACCTCCACACTTGCCTCTCCCCCCAGCACATCCACATTTGCTCCTCCCCCCAACACCTCCACGCTTGCTCTAACCCCTGTACCTCCACACTTATTCCCCACTCCAGCACCTCCACATCTGTTCCTCCTCCCCCCAGCACCTCCACACCTGCTCCCCGCTGCACCCCTCTGCACATCCACACTTGCTCCCCACTCCAGCACCCCCACACTTGCTCCTCCTCCCCCAGCACCTCCACACCTGTTCCTCCCCCTAGCACCCCCACACCTGCTCCTCCCCTAGCACCTCCACACCTGATCCTCCCCCCAGCACCCCACACCTGCTCCTCCCCCAGCACCTCCACACCTGCTCCTCTCCCCAGCACCTCCACACCTGTTCCTCCCCCCGGAACCCCCACACTTCCCCCCCCTCCACCAGCACC